TAAAAAAATAGAAGCATTAAAGCACGTATTTTTTGTTTTTACAATAGATATTATCTATGTAATAGGCGGGGGGAAGAGCTCCGCCCTCCCCCCTGCACCCCCCTCCCCGCCTGCGCCCATACTACCCACTGGAGGGGGCTTTGCCCCCCAACCCCCATTGGTATTATTTTTTTGTACTTTTTTTGTTAATAACTTTTTAACGAATAACGAGCGACGGCTAAAACCACCTGAAGGTTACTTGGGGTCATGCCCTTGACAACATATATAAAGGGCAAGATCATTGGAGCAGCCTCCCTTCATCGGTAAATTTACCATTAAAATTTTGTTGACACATTATTATCCAGATAATCAAACGGGATTCATCATATCGAACAAACTGTGGAGATTGATTTCTCACAGCTTTTTTTTTTTAAAGAAAATATTTATTTTAAATTAATGTTTACAAATTATTTAATTTTGGTGGTGTAATATGGTGGTGTATTAAGATGGTATATTTAGGTGGTGTATTTAGGTGATGTATTAGGTGGCCCTGAAAAGGGCCGTTTATTTTCTTCTTACAAAAGTCTCTCTTTCCAGATGATTGAAAGTTGCGTTGTAGTTACTTTCTTCGGTCCAAGGATTCTGTCAGCGTAGAGGAGGCTGGTTTCCTCTTCTATGCTGGTTACCTCCGTTTGCGTCGCCTTTGTGTTCTGGAGCCTCTCCCAAAACTTATCGTTTTCCTCTATAGCAATGTCTTCTTCTTGCTGCTGTTCGGCGAGGAGTATCTGATGATCCTCGGGTCCCCGGGATGCAAGCAGCTCCTTGGTGGCCTCTCTCTAGCTGGCGGAAGAAGGTCCAGCGGGAGAAGAATCCACGGCACCTCAACCTCTTGATTTCTCGGAGGACTCAGTGAAAGATCGGTAGGAATGAGCTTCCACTGAATTCCTAATATAGTATCTCCGGAAGGCTCCAGGATGTTTGGTTACAGATTATTTTGCCAGAGTGCAAGTGGCTTGCCTCGGCTCGTTTCGAGGGTATATTTATACTCATCCTGAATGTTTTCTAAATGTGAGAAAACCTCCCATCTATCGGGGTTAATTTAATTAATTAATTGCGAGTATGATTCAGGTATGCCATGAAAACAATCGCCGATGAAGCTTGTCGCGTTTCGCAATGACGTGTTGAAACGCGCCAAAATGTGGAGTCGAACAGACCGCCACAAAACTAATACATTGCATGAGTTGTTGCATATTTGCTATACATTTGTTGACATCGAAAAACAATACAGCAACATAACTGCTTATACGTGTAATCAGTTGATGAAATTTCAAGAGCAAACGATAAGCAATAGTGGTACATACATTATGTTATTGGCAACATTACAGCAACATGTTTGTAATAAAAGATTACAAGTTTTACCTTGAGCATGATGAAAACATGTCGACAACAAAACATGTTATGCTTTCCATTTGTTGTTGTGTATATGTCTTCAAGTTATGAAGTTTTTTTAATTGTTTGTTGCTAACAGAATTTTGACAATAAAAAGTGTCACATGTTTACGACAACTCTTTGGCAAAAAGATATATAGTTTTTCAGATTTAAATTATATATGAATACTTACAAATCTGCTACTAGATGGCGTTTGTTGATAACTGTTGTGGGGAATTAGCTCCCACCATGTTTTCTCCCTAGCGCTCTGTGTGGGGGAACTCAAGCGAGTTGCGCGCAGCAACCAGCGCAGCGTTCATTCTTTTGGATATAGTCTTCCGAGTCAGACCAGAATAAAATTGAGCAACCTAAACTCTGTGTCGTTCATCCTTCCGCCCTGATCTCAGTCAACGTGGGACCGTTCATTCCCTCATTGGTGACCCCGACTGAGTAAGAAGGAAACAATCAGCCAGACCACGCCGCTGCTCAACCGAAGGAAGTAACGAAGGCGTACGCCACCATTCTACCCTACGAGTTACGAACCCAACCAAGTGCCACGAAACACAGTCCCAGTAGCAGGCGCCCAGCGCGCCGTCGCCAGGAACACCTGCACCGGCACACGCAGCAGCAGACGCTCAGCGCGCCGTCGCCAAGAACACCGGCACCGGCACACGCAGTAGTAGGCGCCCAGCGCGCCGTCGTAGAGAGCACCGGCACCGGCGTTCGCAACAGCAGGCGCCCAGCGCACCGTCGCCCAAAAAAACAGGCGTAAACGGACACCAGTAGACCCCGCAGAGGCATCGTCAACGAGGTGACACACGAGTTACGTAAAAAGTGAACATTCAACGGTACGAAATTTTGCGTACGGCCGCCATTGCAATTCCATTCATTCATGCGAGCGAGAAGCGATGCGATAGCAATTATTTGATCGAGGCGCCATTGTTAAACACTCTTTCGGTAACGACGTGACGCGAGATCCTATCCGTGGAACGAGTGTATTTAACCGAGTTGGTGTATTTAAGTAGCATAAAGAGGCGAATCTAATACAATGCCACCACCTTCGTATAAAGAGCTGCATGAGTAGCTGTTGCAAGCGCAAACCGCTCTGCAGCAATTACAGGCACGGCCTAACGCAGGCGGTGCGCATGTCGATTCATATCGAATTCCTAAAATTCCACCGTTTCTAATTACGGATCCCGTGATATGGTTTATTTAAGTAGAAACGACGTTCGAGACTGCACGTATTACAGATCAGAAAACTAGAGCGCATTACGTTATTATGTCATTGGACGCCGAGGCGATTTCATGTTGTGATCTCATTGAGCGGCCCGATCAAAATGAGCCGTACACCAAATTAAAAGAACGCATAATAGAAAACTTCTCTACATCGGCAGAAAGTCAGCTCCGGCAACTAATAAAAGGGCAGGTTTTGACCTCCGAGAAACATTCGCACATTCTTAATAGATTGCGTAATCTCAACCCCGATAAGCGATGTGACGATGATGTGTTAAAGACCATTTTTTTGAGTACTTACTTAACGCCTTACGTCAGGAGCATTCTAGCGACTTCTGAGATCAATGATCTCAATAAATTATCGAAAATGGCAGACAAAATAATTGAGATCGCTAACGACTCTTCACAGGTTATCGCCGCCGCGGCCACTAAAGATTCGAAAATGTCAGAGCTCGAAAATAAGCTCGAGTGTCTTACCGCGGAATTAGAAGTTCTTTCGGCTCTGATTAAACGGTCCAGCAGATCCCCAACAAGAGGCTTACCTGATAGGAGCCGTAAGCAATCTAAGAGTAGACGTGCCAATGTAGTTTGTTGGCGCCACAGGACCTTCGGTGACAAAGCGCGAGAGTGTAAGGGCACGGAAGAACAGCCGTGCACGTGGCCGAAAAATAACGTTCTTTCGGGGGGCTAAGACAATCTGCGGCACAAGAGGCGAGTGTTGCAGGTCGAAACCAATCGTTCCGCCTCTATGTTCGCGATCGTGTTACAGGGGAGACATTTCTCATCGACACGGGCGCGAAAATTTCACTCTTGCCAGCTGGTAATACGATTAACAAAAAACCTAGCAGTTTCAAGCTTTACGCGGCAAACGATACGCAGATCAACACTTATGGTGAATCATTTCGCACCTTGCACCTCGGTATTCGTCCGATCTCGTGGGATTTTTGCGTCGCATTAGTTCCGTATCCAATCATTAGAGCCGACCTTATTAAACATTACGGTCTTCTTCCCGATCTAAAAGAGCAAAGACTTATTGATCAGCAAAACAACGCGTTTACGACAGGCGCCGTTAAATCAACGCCGCCTCTAACTATTAGTACAATCAAATCCGCGACAAAGTTCGCGTGCATTTTGACTGAATTTCCTGAGGTCACAGGCCTTGAGCAAACGGTTCCAAGCAAAAAGAAAAATGATGTGTATCATCACATTCTTACAACAGGCCCACCGGTCGCGGAGCGACTTCGGTCCCCGAAGATTGGCCCCGGACAAGCTCAAAATAGCTAAAGCCGAATTCAAGCGGCTGGTCGAGCTCGGTATATGCAGACCGTCCAGTAGCCCGTGGGCAAGCCCGATCCACATGGTCCGCAAAAAAGACGAATCATGGAGGATTTGTGGCGACTATCGTCGGCTAAATGCGGTAACCATTCCCGACAAGTTCCTTGTATCGCATTTGCACGATTGTTCATTCAATCTTCGCAAAAAAACTATCTTCTCAAAACTCGATTTGCATCAGGCCTATAACCAGATTCCGATCGCTCCCCAAATCGGTAGTCGTAACACCTTTCGGACTTTTTGAGTACACGTGTATGACCTATGGCCTCAGGAACGCCAGTCAAACGTTTCAACGACAGATTTTTCGCGCGCTCGGTGATTTAGATTTCGAATTCGCGTTCATTGACGACATTCTCATTGCCTCAACAACACCAGAAGAACATGCAAAGCATTTGCGAATAGTAATGCAAAGATTAAAAGAATTTCACTTACGTCTCAACGTCGAGAAATGTTAATTCGGCAAATCAGAATTAGAATTCCTCGGTCACACAATAAATAGTGAAGGGTGTAAACCCACTCCGCCGCCTACCAATCCTCCACTATCGCTCGAGGCCCAACGACTAAGCCGCCGATCGCTCTCAGGAGCGTTTCATACCAAAAATGCGCCCAAATTGTATTTTCCGATAAACTATTATTAAAAGTTTCTTTATTAAATAATCTTTACACAAAAATAGAATTTTTTTTTAAATGTATTAGATGTTATGTAATAATTTTTATAACGATATATTTTCATAAAATTTATCATATAATTTAAATTTTAACAATAAATTTTTGCATCACCCGTGAGGTACTGTTGTTAATTTTGCGTTTTTTTAGTGTTTCCCCAGTAGGCGTATTCCACTAAAAAATAATGAATTAAATACATGGCTTAGCAAAAAATAAAATTTTGTAAAATATTATTATAAAAATTATTATGTAACACATATAATATGTTAAAACAAAAATTTAATGTTTGTAA